TTCAACCTCATTTTTCCATTGGCATGGAAGATACGGCCTGACAACATGTTCCCATCACTGATGATTCTTTCCTGCCTTCTAATTCTAAAAAGCAGTGATTTTAGGGCTTGATAACCCAAGGATTGAAACCCAGCTCTTCCATGATTTCTCATATGACCTTGAACAAGTTTCTCAACATCTCTGTGTCTCATTTTATTCCTACATACATAAGGAGGTGCTCCCTGCCTTGCATTGCTATTCTATGGATCAGATATAATTTATATAAAGGTCTAGTGTGGTCCTTGATATACAGGAGGGATCCAGCGAATGGGTATTATTGTTATTATTTCTGTCATTATTTCTTGTTTTCAATAGTAATTTTTCTAGTATTATTTCACTTTTTTATGAGATTTTTCTATATTAAATTGTAAAATCTGTGGAGAACAGTTAGACATTACTCCTCCCTAAGCACCTGGCTGGTACTAAATGCTTAGCAAATACTTGGTAACTCACTGATAGAAAATCCTGTGGTGCTTGAAAATGTGGAGTTGAGAGAGAAAATTCCTCTTGACTTTTCTGGTATAAACAATTTTATGTAATATTTTATGTTCCTATATAAAATTTATAGGAACTTCACCAAAGAGAAAAATGGATTACATTCAATCATTAAAGTGATATGCAATCTCAGAATGATTCAGAAAGAGTCCTTGCTCCTGTGTATATTGTCAGAAAAAGAATGAGTTTCATCTATAATGAGGGACAAGATGCAGGGAAATATTTTGAGGGCATGCCATTAGTTGGCATAATTATTCATTTTGACCAAGGCTGCCTTCTAATAGGATTAATACTGAATAGAAGGCAGTCTCTTTTATTAGAGAATTCCAAAAGTTAGTGTACATAGGAGTTACATAGAGAAACTTAAAAGATGGGAGGGTTCTAACTCCAGAGATTCTGCTTCAGAACTTCAGTTCTGTTTGTGTCCACTTATATCCTGAGGTTCTGCTCAGGCTATAGACTTGTCCTGGGTCCTGTCCTCCCACCCTTCCAGCCTTGCCCCAGGGTGAGACACGGATGTGCTTCTGCTCTCACAGAGGCCACCTCAGCCAGTACCGTCATCTGATGGCCATTATTCTCAGCTGCTCTGTGGCCTGCTGAGCCAGTAGATAATTATCCTCTTTAGTATCCCTGCAAGCAGAGCCAGCGTTCAGGAATTTGCTAATTACTGTTCCCTGTTGACTAATTATTCACATCCATCCTGTATATACTTGGACACATTTAGTTTTAATATCAATTCAAATCCCAAGTCCACAGCTACTTACCGGAGTGGATGCCCATGATATATTTATATGTTGCTGCCACCACCACTGAAGGCTGAAAACACTAATCATTACTGCTACGGAAGCAGCTATTACCTCCTGACACTGACCACTTCCCAGGAGCTTCTGTGGAGGCTCCAACATTTCCCTTTGAAGTAGATTTGTCCCTTACTCTGAATACAGAATCCTTGCCTCAGAGAAATTAAGTAGCATGTTCAAGGTCACAGTGTTGGTAAACAACAGAACCATGATCCAAACCCAAATCTGTCTGATTTCAAAACCTCTGCTACTTCCACCAAAATGAAGGGAAGACAAATAGTTTCTTTTCATTGTTTGTGTTAGTTGAGTATGAATTGTAGCATTTCAAACTTAGATCTGGATGATAAAAGAGCCAGTTTTACTTTTTCAAGGTGAGAATTTAGAAGGATTTCTCATATTTATTATATTAGATTATGCTTATTCTTTTATTCCAAAGATTTGCTGTGAGCCAGTGTGAGTCAGTGCGGTGCAGTGTAAGAGAGCATAAGCATCCTCAGGTGTAACGCAAGCCACCGGCTCCAAATGCAGAGTTTGAATACAAGAAGCAAAATACAGCCTTTTGAAATCTTTGTCCTTTTCTTTGTTAAGCCAAATAATATAATTTGCTACACATATTTCAAGGTACTTTAGAAATGGAATAGCTTCACCACGAGCCTTTCTGCAGAGGACAGCTTGAGAGTCAAGTGAGAAAGTGACAGCTGGAAGCTAGTCCATCTCAGGCAACAGAGGAAATCTACTGCATTGCGGGAGTCCCAGGGTCGACCGAATGGAAAACAAAGGAGTGTGAGCCAGAGCTCTGCTGGTGGAGTTGGGAAATACAGCTGCAATTCCAGGACACACAGAGACTACACATGGGCAGAAGGATGCAGAAAGAATGTTTGCATCTTTTGTGAAAGATGAGCAGAAAACATCCTTCCCTACAAAATGATTGCAGGTGAAAACTTCCTGGATACTGAGAATAACATGCAAAAATAATGTCCTGTGCTGAGGAAATTTGAGCCTGAGTGTGCACCAAGGAGTGACCTTTGAGAGGAACCACTCACACCTAGAAGCCATTCAATAATGGGTGCTGGATGGAGTTAAGACGTGAGGGTGGTGGGGACATGTACAGTGAGATTTTTAGAGGTATCTGAAGGACAGTCTTTTATAAATTCTCAGTATGGGGTCACTTCTCAGGTTGCAAATTATGTGTCTCTGTCTCCTATTCAAATACAAATATGGTACCAGTGAAGCTTCCCGGTGTGAGGGAAAGAACATTAAAATCAGCATAGGATCTTATTCCTTGGGCAGTTCATGCCCTCTTTCAACCTCAGTTTACTATCTCTCACAAAAGGGATATGGACTATTTTAGTGCTTCTCAAACTCTAGGTGTGTGGAAATCACCTGGGAATCTCATCAAATGCAGATTCATGACCAGACACGGTGGCACATGCCTGTAGTTCCAGCTACTCAGGAGGTTAAGGTGGGAGGATAACCTGAGGCCAGGAGTTTGAGGCTGTAGTATGCCATGACTGCACCTATGAATAGCTGTTGCACTCCCACCGGACAACAAAACGAGGCACCACTGCTTTTGGGAAAAAAAAAAAACAAAACAAACAAAAAAAAAAACAAACCCCAGGAGATTCTGATTCAGTAGTTCTGGGCTAGGGCCAGAGAATCTGCATTTGTAACTTTCAGGTGATGTGGATGCTGCTATTCTGGAGTCCATGTTTTGAATTGTATGGGACTAGATTTTCTTCAAAAGCTCTTAACCTTGAAACTAGGTTAAAAAGAGAAGGAAACTAGATGCCTTGATACATAGAATTCAATAATTTCAGAATTCTCAATGTTTAAAAAGTCTCCATTCATTTATTAATTTTTGAAAATATTTATTGCACCAATATGATGTTATGGGTACTTTTCCAGAAACCAAGTACTTTGCACAGTGAGAAAAAATATTCCAAGATGCCTGCAATTTGAAAGTTCAGAGAAGGGAGACAGGCAACAAACACAAAAAAATAAGTGAACATGGTAATTCAGACAATGAGTTAGAGCTTTAGCTGACATGCAACTCCCATGAGGAAATGGACTTTGCTGTCTTGTTCACATATCTCTTTCTGTTGCCTAGAAGAACATCTGACACATAGCAAGTGTTCAGTAAATATTTGTTGAACAAACAAATAAATCAATTATGTTATGTGCTATTTATCTAAAAACAACATACAATAGAAAATAAGATTCAGAGAGTGACAGAATGAATAGTGTGGGCATTTTAGGTTAGTAAGCAGAGGAGTCTTCTCTCAACAGTTGGCCTTTGAGCCAAGTACTGCATGACAAGAAGGAATTGACCATGTGCACATGGTTTTCTTTGGTTTTCCAAACAGAGAGAATGGCCAGTGCAAAGGTCCTGAAATAAGTTTTCTTGGCAAGTTCAAGACTCATCAAGGAGCCCTGTGGCTGGAGAGGCTGGTGAGGACTGGCCTTAGAGGACAAGGAAAAGAGACAGACTTAGACAGAGGAAGGCAGGAATGAGGTCAGGAAAGGTCTTGCCTGTCATGGTCATGGATGTAGATTTTCTTTAAATGCCATGGGAAGATCATGGAGGCTTTTTACGGAAAGCCTGAATTAATGTAATTTCTTGATTTTAAAAAGACAAATCTGTCATGAACGATCTAAGAAGGCAGAGGTAGCAGAGGTATGTCAGGAGGCCATTTCAGTAGAGGGATATCACAGAATTCCAGCAAGAAACGAAAGTGGGTGCTTGAGGACAGTCTTAAAATAAGTAGATGTATTAAATATATAGATTCAAGGTAGACTTGGCAGGATTGACTGATGGATTAGATGCTGGCTGAGGCCAGTGTGGGTGATGGTTGAAAAGGAATACAAAGAATAATCAAGGACTCCTCCTTGCCAACTCATTAGCTGATTCGAGAGTATGTGCTCCTTTTTAAGTTAACCTATTTTTGGACAGCTCGATTTGTAGGCAGAATTTTCATAAGTCGAGTTTAAATCTGTCTCCCTGTAACTACATTCACTGATCCAAGGCCTAGTTTTGGAATTTCACAGACCAAGTATACTGCCTCTTCTTTCCAATAATCCTCCATATGTTCAACGACAGTGATTGTAAACTCTTTCACACACACCATGGGTTTGATGTCCTCCAGGCCTCCAAGCTCAATGTGCTCTGTGTGTTCATGCAGTCCTCTATACCAGGCATGGCTTGACTTTGCTTCTAAGACATACTGACTGTGTGGATTAGAATCTCTCCGTGGTGTATCATTCCTGATTACTGGATGAAACCAGGTCTGGAATCGGTAAGAACTGAAATCCTCAATCATTGTTTCACAGATATTCTACATGTTGGAATCACCCAATGAGTTTTTTAAAATGCTAACATCTGTGTCCCATCCCCAGCAAGTCTGATTTAGTTGATATAGGGTGCATCCCAGGCATTGAGAGTTTCATACGCTCTCCAGTTGATTCTAATGGGCAACAAAGCTTGACAGCTGTTGCTGTTTTGATCCTTGCTATTCAAATATGGCTCATGAACCAGTAGCATTAGCAGCTCCTGGAGATTGTTAGAAATGTATGTAGAATCTCAGCCCTCTTTCTGAACTCTGTCCTTCTGAATCAGAATCTGCATTTTAACACAACCCTCAGATAGTTCTGCCTCATATTAAAGTTTGAGAAGCACTTGTATAAATTAGTGATTTTTTAAACTTTTATTTGACGTTCAGGGGTACATGTGGAGACATGTTAAACTTGTGTTATGGAGGCTCGCCGTACAGATTGTTTTGTTACACAGGTATTAATTCTAGTGCCTATGGGTTATTTCTCTTGATCCTCTTCCTCTTCTCATCCTTTACCTCCAATAGGCCTCAGTGTCTGTTGTTCCCTTCTATATGCCTATATAGTCTCATCATTCAGCTCCCTCTTATAAGTGAAAAAGTGTGGTATTTGGTTTTCTGTTCCTGTGTTAGTCTGCTAAGGATAGTCTTCCAGCTCCATTCCTGTTCCTGCAAAGAAAAGGATCTTGTTATTTTTTATGACTGCATAGTATTCCATGGTGTACAGGTACCACATTTTATTTATCCAGTCTACTCTTGATGGGTGTTTAGGTTGATTCCATGTCTTTGCTATTGTGAATAGTGCTGCAATGAACATATGCATGCATGTGTCTTTATGATAAAATAATTTATATTCCTTCGGGGTTATACCTAGTAATGGGATTGCTGGGTCAAATGGTAGCTCTGTTTTTAGGTTTTTGAGGAATCACCACACTGTTCTCCACAACAGTTGAACTAATTTACCTGTCCACCAACAGTGTATAAACATTCCTTTTTCTCTGCAACCTTGCCAGCACCTGTTATTTTTGGACTTTTAAAAATAGCTGTTCTGAATGGTGTGAGATGGTATCTCATTGTGATTTTGATTTGGGTTTCTCTAGTGATCAGTGCTGTTAAGATTTTTCTTTAACATGCTTGCAGACTGCATGCATGTCTTCTTTTGAAAACATACATGCCACCTACAGCATGCGAGAAACCTTAATTAGATTCCATTTGTCAATTTTTGCTTTTATTCCAGTTGCTTTTGGTATGTTTGTCATGAAATCTTTGCCATTTGCTATGTCTACAATTGTATTGTCTACATAGGGTTTTCTTTCAGAGTTTTTAGAGTTTGGGGTTTTATGTTTAAGTCTTTAATCTACCTTGAGTTAATTTTTGTATATCTTGTAAGGAACAGGTCCAATTTAAATCTCCCACATATGGCTAGCTAGTCATCTCAGTACCATTTATTGAATAAGGAATGCTTTCCGGGGTGAGAATGATCCAAGATGGCTGATCACTAACATCTCGGGATTGCAGTTCCCAGTGAAAGTGCAGAGAATGACAGGACGCCACACTTTCAGACAAACTTTTGTCACTCACGGAGTAGAAGATTCCCAGTAGAGGAGCTCCATGGGTCGCCAGCGTGACTCTTGTGGCTGGCGCAGTGGTTTTGCTGGCACCTCAGCATGGCAGCTCTTGGTGCAGAGTAAACGTGACTGGTTCCCCTTCTGACCAACGTTTGGAGCTCCAGGAAGGCAGAGTCGCCCATTACTGACTCAAGAAGGAAGCCAGACTGGAAATTCCCGGGCAGAAAATCACCATCAGTCTTAACGCCGCTGTTTTGGCCGGCACAGTGGGTTGCTCATATTTTGGCCCTGGGAGTTAACAACTTGGACATCCACTCAGAGACCTAATTTGAAAGTTGGTAATTACAAAGACAACAGGTGGATAAATTTACAATGATGGGAAGAAACCAACGTAAAAAGGCTGAGAATACTCAAAATCAGAATGCCTCTCCCTCTAAAGAGGATCACAGTTCCTCATCAACAAGGGAACAAGGCTTGATGGAGAATCAGTGCATCCCATTAACAGAATCAGGCTTCAGAAGATGGATCATAAGAAACTTCTGTGAGTTAAAAGAACATGTTGTAGCCCAATGTAAAGAAACCAAGAACTTTGAAAAAAGGTTTGACTAAATCCTAATGAGAATAGACAATTTAGAGAGGAATATAAGTGAATTAATGGAACTGAAGAATACAATATGGGAACCCCAAGAAGTATGCACAGGTTTAAACACTTGAATTGATCAAGCAGAAGAATCCTATCAGAGGTCAAAGACAAACTTAATGAAATAAAACAAGAAGACAAGAATAGAGAAAAAAGGATAAAAAGGAATGAGCGAAGTCTCCAAGAAATATGGGACTATATGAAAAGACTTAATCTATGTTTGATAGGTGTACCTGAATGCAATGGAGAAAATGAATCCAAGCTGGAAAATGCTCTTCAGGATATTATCCAGGAAAATTTTCCCAATCTAGCAAAGCAGGACACTATTGAACCCCAAGTAATACAGAGAACAACACAAAGATATTCCTCAAGAAGAGCAACCCCAAGGCACATAATCGTGAGATTCATGAGGGTTGAAATGAAGGAGAAAATACTAAGGGCAGCCAGAGAGAAAGGTCAGGTTACCCACAAAGGGAAGCCTATCAGACTTATAGCAGATCTCTCAGCAGAAACTCTACAAGCCAGAAGAGAGTGGGGGCCAATATTCAACATCCTTAAAGAACAGAACTTTCAGCCCAGAATTTCATATCCAGCCAAACTAAGCTTCACAACGGAAGGAAAAATAAAATCTTTTATGAACAAGCAAGTATTCAGAGATTTTATTACCACCAGGCCTGCTCTATAAGAGTTTCAGAAAGAAGCATTACACATAGAAAGAAACAACCAGTATTAGACTTTCTAAAAATATACCAAAAAGTAAAGAGCACCAACATAAAAAATTTACATCAATGAATGGATAAAACAGCCAGTTTTAAATTTAAATTGATGAAATCCCCCAATCAAAAGATACAGCCAAAACCCAACTGTATGCTACATCCAGACACATTTCACGTGTAAGGATACACAAAGACTTAAAACAAAGGGATGGAGAAAGATTTACCAACCAAATGGAGAGCAAAAATAAATATATAAATAAAAAACAGGAGTTGCAATTCTCGCATCTGATAAAATAGATTTTAAAGCAACAAAGATATAGTGGTAAAAAGATCAATGCAACAGTAAGAGCTAACGATCCTAATACCCAGATATATAGAGACTTAGACTCCATGAGACAGAAAATTAATAAGGATATCCAGGACTCAAACTCAGATTCTGAACAAGTAAACTTAATAAATATTTATAGAGCTCTCCACTTGAAATACACAAAATATACATTCTTGTCAATACCACATCACACCTACTCATAGGTTTAAATGAAATATTGATTGGCCATTATTAATACCCATTTTTTAGAATAAAGCAACATTTCCATTCTCTCTCCCTCTTTTTCTTCCTCTTTCTTCTTCTCCTTCACTCCTTTTTTCTTCTTTCAAAAAATAAATAAAAATTAAAAAATAATAAAAAAAGGAATGCTTTCCTCATTGCTTGTTTTTGTCAGTTTTATCAAAGATCAAATGGTTGTAGGTATGAGATCTTATTTCTGAGCTCTCTATTCCATTTGTCTATGTGTCTGTTTTTGTACAAGTACCATGCTGTTTTCGTTACTGTAGCCCTGTAGTATAGTTTGAAGTCAGATAGCATGATGCCTCCAGCTTTGCTCTTTTTACATAGGGTTGCCATGGCTTTTCAGACTCTTTTTTGGTTCTGTATGATTATTAAAATAGCTTTTTCTATTTCTGAGAAGAATATTATTGGTGGTTTAATAGAAATAGCATTGAATCTATAAATTACTTTGGGTAGTATGGCCATTTTATTAATATTGATTTGACATAGCAGTTGGGTAGAGCCTGCAGCAGCTCAGCAACACCTCTGCCGGTAGACTGTGACTAGACTACCTCCTTGCTGGGGAGGACATCTCTGAAAAAAGGCAGCAGCACATCAAGAAATTATAAATAAAGCCCCACCTTCCCAGAACAGAGCACCTGGAAAAAGAGGCAGTTATGACTTCCACTGCAGCAGATTTAAACATACCTGCCCAGCAGCTCTGAATGGAACAACTGAACTCCCAGCATAGTACTTGAGCTCTGACAAGGGACAGACTGTCTCCTCAAGCAGCTCCCTGACCCCTGTGTATCCAAAGAGGCACCTGATAAAGGAGAGCTATGGCTGACATCTGGCAGGTACCCTTCTGTGACAAAGATAACAGAAGAAGAAACTGGCAGCAACTCTTACTGTTCTGCAGCCCCACAGGTGATCCCCAGGCAGGCAGGGTCTGGAGTGGACCTCCAGCAGTCCTGACTGTTAGAAGGAAAACTTAAAAACAGAAAGAAATAGCTTGAGCATCAACAAAAAGGACATCCACACAGAGACCCCATTCAAAACTCACCAATTACTAAGACCATAGGTAGATAAATCCACAAAGATGGGAAGAAACTAGCACAAAAAGGATGAAAACACCAAAAAACAGATGCCTTTCCTCCTCCAAGGGATCATAACCCCTCACCAGCAAGGGAACAAAGCTGGATGGAGAATGAGTCTGATGAATTCACAGAAACGGGCTTCAAAAGGTGAATAATAACAAACTTCTCTGAGCTAAAAGAACATGTTCTGACCCAATGCAAAGAAGTCAAGAACCTTGAAAACAGGTTAGACAAAATGCTAACTAGATAAAACATATATATATATTTTTTTGAGACAGAGTTTCACTCTTGTTACCCAGGCTGGAGTGCAATGGTGCAATCTCGGCTCACCGCCACCTCTGCCTCCTGGGTTCAGGCAATTCTCCTGCCTCAGCCTCCTGAGTAGCTGGGATTACAGGCATGGTGGCACATGTGCCATCATGCCCAGCTAATTTTTTGTATTTTTAGTAGAGACGGGGTTTCACCATGTTGACCAGGATGGTCTCAATCTCTTGACCTCGTGATCCACCCCCCTCGGCCTCCCAAAGTGCTGGGATTACAGGCTTGAGCCACTGTGCCTAGCCAAAAAAACATCTTAAAAAGAACATAAACAATCTGATGGAGCTGAAAAACACAGCACGAGGATGTCACAAAGCATACACAAGTTTCAAAGGTCCAATTGACCAAGCAGAAGAAAGGATATCAGATATTGAAGATCAACTCAATGAAGTAAAATGAGAAAGCCAGATTAGAGAAAAAAGAGTGAAAATAAATGAACAATGCCTCCAAGAAATATTATTTAGAGAAAAAAGAGTGAAAAGACCTAATCTACGTTTGATAGGTGTATCTGAATGTGACAGAGAGAATGAATCCAAGTTGGAAAACACTCTTCAGGGTATTATTCAGGAGAACTTCCCAACCTAGCAAAGCAGGCCAACATTCAAGTCCAGGAAATACAGAGAACACCACAAAGATGTTCCTCAAGAAGAACAACCCCAAGGCACATAATCATTAGATTCACCAGGGTTGAAATGAAGGAGAAATGCCAAGGCAGCCAGAGAAAAAGGTCAGGTTACCCACAAAGGGAAGCCCATTGGACTCACAGTGGATCTCTCTGCAGAA